TGCTTACTAACTATGCACACAGTGATTGGCTGATAGTCTCTGTCAGAGATTTATTCATAGAAATATTGTATAGCGCAATATTATGTTGCCATATTAAAATAAAAGTTTTAAAATAAAAATGTTAAAGGGGTCATATGATGCGATTTCAATTTGTCCTTTCTCCTCACTATGTGGGAAGATTTTCATAATGCCGCCCAAATGTTCACGCAAAGAAAGAAGGCGTAAATTTTATTCTCGCTGTAGTATTGTTGTTGCCACCGCCGCCGTCATGTCATGAAGGCTCTGTGTGTTTTGTTGTGAAAGCGAAACGACTTTGTTTGGCCTGCCAAAAGAGAACGATATCTGCTTCGTCATGCCTAGAGCTGATCCGTGCTGGTCGCTGAGGAAATACATAAACTTGTCAGCCTCTTATATGTATGCTTCTCGTAAACAATTAGTCAATATGCATTAGGGCTGCCCTCTACTAAAGATTTTTCTGGTCGACTAGTAGTCATTAATTTTAAGCATTAGTTGACTATTAGTCGCACTTTTATTAATAAACCATATAAATCATTAAAATGAGCCTTTAATTGCCTACATAGCCTAATAAGCGCTCAAGCGCACGCAAAAAAGGCTTGCCACAGTGCACCGGCAACAATAATAATTATAAGATTACCATTTTGTTTAAGGTAACAAAGGATCTGGGCAGAGTTTTAACTTTAAAATTCACGACACAAGACAATACTTCTTTATAAATGAAACAAACGTTTATTGGCTATTCTAGATTACATTAAACTAAACTAATGAAAGCACACACACACACACACACACACATACATACACACACACATACGGTTGAAAGGATGAGGATTTTAACGGAGTTCTGACGAAGTTCCCAAAGTTCTAATGATTGTTTTCTACGAGTATTTTAACTTCAACCTGAGAAAACTCATAAAAGCAGAGACTTGGCTTATGTTTACTGCTTAAACTCAGTTCAGCACCCGTTCAGCATGAGATGAAAAGATTTTGCTTGTTACTTGCGTTTTAGTGACAGCTGAGCGGAGTTTCCCAGTTGCTGGCTTTTCAGGGAATCCCAGCGCCTTTGATTGGTTGCTGATCTGTCGTTTGGATGACGTAGTTTCTGGGGATGCCCTCCTTATGAATGGGGTTTCCTGGTGATGCAGAGGCTTTAGCAGTTCTTCTGAAAGATTCTGAGTTTGTAAGACTTTAGGCTTTTGAAGATCTCTGGCAGTCACAAAGTTTCAACTGAAGTGTTTGAGTTCTGGAT